ACCAGTCCTGGCTCTCAGTGTTCTGTTCTGTTATTTAGCTCTAATTTATCCCTAAGTGTCTTCTAATCATCCAGTAAGCAGTGAAAGTGTTGGAAATGCTGCTAGACAATACTGACCTCCCGTGTCCCAAGAGTGCTGAACTAGAGAGGTTCAACCTGTACTAACATGCAGCAACTAATCATTTCAATGACTTAAAAACATATCCATAAGACTGCCTGCCTGCTAAGATTGATACCTATGTTATTTTGCACATGGCATGTAGTAATTTTCCTATATCACCAAACTGTGACTATAAAAGAATAAACTCTCCCTAATGGGGCTGTCAGCTGAAGCACTGATTTCCCAGCCCAAAACAAAACAGAGCTTTCCTCTACCAGTACCAGCTTCTGTTCTTGTTACAGCCCCACTTGTTCCCAACTGATCAGGCCTTGGTTGGTCTTATTGCTTTTTTATTGGCGAGGGAAGCCTTGACCTGGGCATCTCTCCTCTTGGAATAGTCCAGCCTCCTCCTGCACGAGATGTGATCTTTGCTGATCCTCACTGCTCCTGAACTGCTGGAACCATACGTCAGGCACTATGGTGGCATGTCAACCTGGGCTAAACACACAGGCAAATTCCATCTTGTGTCCATGCACACTGAATGGAACAAGGCAGCACAATGTCACTTTATCCAGCTAAAATTCAATGAAGACACTAAAGAGGAACTGGTGAGGACCTAATTATTTTGTTCATTCAAACTGACATACACCTGATACAGCTCAGCACCCTTAAACCTGAGTCTTCAGATACACTTAGAAGTTTTATTTGATTGGGGGCATTGGACAATTTTATAGACTGGAACTCTGCTAAAGCTTAAGGTATTTGAAATCAAATCAGTATCTTAGGGTATGTCTACACTACCCTCCTAGTTCGAACTAGGAGGGTAGTGTAGACATACCCCCTGTTACTTCAAAATAATTTCAAAATAACAAGCTTGCTGAGTTGATGCTCACCTTCCTATTTCAAAAATACAGGAGTTATTTTGAAATAACTCTGTAATGTAGACATGCCCTTAGGGATTATGGGAAATAAGGAGACATGTCATAGTGAGGTAAAATGAAAACGTACATAACCAGCACCCAAAGAATGGCAGCTTAGCTGAGGAAGGACTGGAGAAGACCTAGAGTTGACATTGCTGCAATCTAAGTGAGTCTTGGGAGACAGACACTCTGTAAAACAAAGATACCGTGTTAGATGGGTAAACTTTGTAGCTCAAGGGATCAGAAAAGAAATGGGAAGTTATTAAGTGGCGGCTCCCCACTTATGCTAATGAAGCCCGGGAAATTCAAATCCCGGGCTTCATTAGCAAGTGCGGTATGCATACATTACCCTCCTAGTTCGAACTAGCGGGGTAGTGTAGACATACCCTACGAAACATAGAATACTAGGACTGGAAGAGACCTTGCAAGATCATTGAGTCCAGTCCCCTACCCTCATGGCAGGACCCATTAGTTGTCTGTATACAAATGCAAGAAGTATGAGGAATAAGCAGGAAGAACTTGAAATGCTAGTAAATAAGGACAACTGTGATGTTGGCATCACAGAGACTTGGTGGGATAATACACATGATTGAATATTGGTGTAGCAGGGTACAGCTTGGTTAGGAAGGATAGGCAGGGAAAAAAGGGAGGAGTTGCTGCCTTATGTATCAAAAGTATTATACTTAGAGTGAGGTTGAATTGAACATAGGAGACAGAATTTTTGAGAGTCTCTGGATACAATTAAAGGGGTAAAAACCAAGGGTGATGTCATAGTAGGGGACTATTACAGACCATCTAACCAGGAAAAAGAGATGGATGAGGCTTATTTAAACAACTAACAAAATCATCCAAAGCACAGAACTTGGTGGAGATTGGGGACTTCAGCTTTCCAGACATCTGTTGGGAACATAGCATAGCGGGACACAGATTATCCAACAAGTTCTTGGAATGTATTGGATACAAGTTTTTATTTCAGAAGACAGAGGAAGCTACTGGGAGAGGCTGTTCTAGATTTGATTTTAACAAAGAGGGAGGAACTGGTTGAGAATTTGAAAGTGGAAGGCAGCTTGGATGAAAGCAATCATAAAATGATAGAAAGTATCAGAGGGGTAGCAATTTTATGATCAATACCACCCTGGAATAAGGAATGGAAAGGTGAATGCATTATCTCAAAAGGACAAGTATTGTGATCCTGGCATGGAAACTCTGTGCATGATCCTGAAACATTTAAATGTTATTATTGGCACCAAGTCCATAACTAATACCTCCATCTGGTCTTTGCTATCTAATGATCCATTCAGGATTAAAATCCATTGGGATTTTAGAAGATACTCACTACATAATAGAATCATTCACAGTTTATGATGGAATACTTTGCTGCAAGGGGAGCATCTACATGCTCAAGAGAAGCCGAGTTCATTTCTTGTGTCTGATAGCAATTTCCTATGCCTGCTGGGAATCAACGCCTGTTTCTCAACAGCTCACCATCCAAACACCAACAGTCAGACAACACAGGTCAATCAGGTCCTGGAGCAGTACCTATGTGACTTTCTTAATTACCATCAGAATGATTGGTGGTTGATTATTTGCCACATAATTTGCCTACAATAATACCACATACATCTCCATCCAATAGACCTCTTTTTTGCTAATTATGGATTCCATTTTTGCTTTCACCCCAAGTTCTCCACCAAGTCTGCAACGACCATCATTGCTGACCTCATCATTTGCATTCATCAAATACATCAAGAGCTTATACTCTGGACAGAAGCAAAAGCAACAAGCAGATAATATGCAGATCAGCTCAGTCAGCCAGCCCCTAGCTTATCAGTCAGGGATAAGATCTAGCTGGCCACCCATACCTTACTGCTGGACCTCTGATACATGGGAGCCTTTCAGATTACAGGATGGATTAATATAGTACCCTTCAGCCTATTGTTACCAGAATTTATTAAGGTCTATCCCATAGCCTTGACCACCCCATTGAAGCTGAAGATATGGCTCTAATGCAGTGGTCCCCTAGCTTATCAGTCAGGGATAAGATCTAGCTGGCCACCCATACCTTACTGCTGGACCTCTGATACATGGGAGCCTTTCAGATTACAGGATGGATTAATATAGTACCCTTCAGCCTATTGTTACCAGAATTTATTAAGGTCTATCCCATAGCCTTGACCACCCCATTGAAGCTGAAGATATGGCTCTAATGCAGTGGTCCCCTACCTGTGGAGGTT